TAGAGATAAATCTGAGTTTTTATTTTTTCTAAATGACATGTTTGCACCATCAATCGTGAAGTGGCTCTCATAAAGTTCAATTTGTACCTAGTCCAGAACTATTTTTTTTGTTTGCGCACTCTGAAACACTGACAAAATGTATCAGGACAAATGTTAATCTGCTAGCCTTATCAACAATAAATTTATACATGATTGTCTGTGACTGAAAATATATTAGGTTCCATAAAATTGTATTTCCACTTATCTTTAATAATTTACCTTTGATAAGCCTTTGCATTTTCATTATAAATTGTCTGGTTTGTAGGCTAAAACCAGACCAGTAAACCACACATGGGCTGGGAAATTTAAGTGAGTTAGAGCTTCTGAATTCCACTCTGGGATTGCTGTAGGTCAAGAGATTCAGTCAAAGAAACGGGTATACCTCACTTTAAACCATACTGTAATAATTTACAATAACACATCTGAGAAAAATTGTTGCCCCGCTTTCAACAGGAAGTATGTGATTCTTGGTACAATATTTTTTAAAAATGGCACATGATTTACAAGTTCTTACATCTTTCACTTAAATGCTTTTTTCTTGACTGGACCACAGCCAATTAATGATCCTTTAATAATCACAGTCTTTAACCAGCAAATTGACACTTATTTCCCTATCACTAAAAACAAGTAAAGGAGAAATATACTGGCATATATATAATTATTTTTTTTGCTATCTTTAGGGAGGATCACGGGTGACTGACAAATCACATCAAACATTTGAAATTCGCCTATCCTACGACCGCATTGTCCGTGATAAAAGCGACAAAAAGGCAAAAAATCTAAAGGCGATGATCAATGCGCCGAGATTGACGATATCCAACCAGAAATCTTCCTGTAAGACAAAAATAAAAATACTTTTAATAAGAGAATTAAGGGAATGACCACAACACAAATATGGAGGGAATGACCACATGGGTACCAACTCAACACCATGTTCGAGCACGACTTACCTCGTGAAAGGAAAGCGTCTCTAGCACCACGTGTCCGGTGCGCGGACAGGTGGCGTTGGAGCGCGTGCAAGCGATCTCGTCCACGCCCTGCCACTGGTTGATGAGCAGGGCCTCGTCTCCGTACTTGAACCACGACAAGTACGAGAGCCACTTGAAATAGCTGGGCACCGAGCTGTGGGCGAGAGCAGTTACATCTTTATTGTCATATCCTGGTCGATCGATTGGCCGCGTCCGGATGCAACTCCATATTTAACTCCCCAATCCTCCCAGTTTAAAAATGGTCCAGGAACGGCCTGATTCACGCGGAGGGCGCAATTTTTTGATCATTTCCCGTGTTATCCCACCAGGACTGCAGCGCGATGAGGAGGTGGACTTGACCGCCTGCCCTACAGGAAACCGAGGTCTCGTAAAGCGGGACCAAGTTCTGAACTTGCTAACGACAGGTGGAGCCGATGCCGATAGCCGAACGGCGATAGCGTGCCGGACCTTGGGCCCCTAGACACCGCCGGCCAGGGGATCGAGTCCTGGTGGGGGCGATTGACTATTTTTCCCGTTTTTCCCGGCATCCGAATTAACTAAGCTGGCCAGCATCGAAATAAGGAGTTGAACCCGGCCTACCACCTCCACAGCAGGTCCCCCCCCCCAAAAAAAAAAGTTTGCCCCGACCAGTACTCGAACCCTCGGCCGGCGGTGTGCAGGTGACCAAGCCCCGGCACGCCGGCCGCTCGGCTGTCGGTTACACCTGTCGTTGGCGAGTTCAGAACTCGGTCCGACTTTATGGGCCCTTGGTCTTCTGTAAGGCAGACGGTCAAGTCCACCTCCTCTTCGCGCCGAAGTGCTGGTCGGATAACAGAAAAATAGTCAAGAAACGGCCTGATTCAAGATTCCAGGCGGGCGGAGCGCGCATTTTGAACATTTTCCGTGCTATCCGACCAGCGCCGCAGCGCGTTGAAGAGGTAGACTTGACCGCCTGCCTCACAGGAAACCAAGGACTCGTACGTAAAGCGGGACCAAGTTCTGAACTCGCTAACGACAGGTGGAGCGGACAGCCGAGCGGCGAGCGTTCCGGGGCTTGGTCCCCTGGACACCGCCAGCCAAGGGATCGAATCCTGGTCGGGGCAAACTTTTGGTGGGAATCTGTTGGTGGTGGTCGGTGAGGTCTAGCTGCTCATCTCGCTGCAGGCCTGGTCAGTTAATTCGGATGCCGGGAAAGATAGTCCTCAGACAGCCACGAAAGAACGATAGTAAACACAGCTCCCGGCGGCATCCAGATCCAAGCTGTCGCTGACGCCCGAAGACACAGTGTAAATACCATCAAAATTGCCCCCCCCCCTCGGCTTGTACGCCGGAGTTGTTGGTTCACTTACTCGTTGTTAAGGAAGAAGCCTCCGAACAACATGAAGGGAATGACGATAGGCGGGCCTATGGACAGCGCCATAGACACGCTGCTAGAAATGCACGAGATCAAGTACCCTGTGAAAAAAAAAAGTTTATTAGACTGGGAGGTTCGATGGGAAATGGGGGTAGGGGTAATAAAGAATTGGCGAGTTTTTATTAATAAACAGCCAACACATGTGGGTGACAGTTCGTTACCGAAGCTGGTCGCGACGTTTGCCACGAGCACGATGATGAGGCACGCCAAGAAGAAGCGGGTGGGCTCGGGGTTCAGCCCTATGAGGTAGTAGGGTAGCGAGATGAAGAGCAGCGGTAGCACCAGGAACACTGGGGTCTCGGCCAGCGTCTTGCACAGGAAGTAGACGTCAACGCGGTACATGCCGTTCGCATGTTCGCGCATAAATATAGGCAGCTCGGCGCAAAACACCTGTGAGGCAAAAAAAAAGGAAACCATTGAATCCTGGCTGGATGTTTTTTTTTGGTTCTGCGGATATAATAAATGAAAGTGTAGTGCAGGCGTTTCCTTACATTTATGACGGCGAATACGTTTTGAAACGTCATGTTTGTGAGGCAGATGAAGATCACCCCGTTGATGTTCATCACTCCGTCCTGGTCCAGCGTCTGGCCGTAGTAGATGAGCACGATCATGAGCGCGACCATCTGTCACGAGGAGAACCAATCCCTCCATCACAGTATTTCACATTCCACAACTCACTGTAGCGTACCGCGTACCGCGCGTGCAACTGTACTCACGACTGTCTGCAACATGCGGACTTTGATGAGCTGGGGCTCCTTGAACACAGAGAGGGAGGACCGCCAGAGGACGGCCCGGAACTGCGCCCACCAGGACGCCTTGTACGGGGAGGTGTCCACGAGGAACAACTCCTCTTCCCACGAGTGAGGGGGCTTCGCCTGTTGGAAACATTGTCAGTACAGAGAGTTCGAGCGGCACCTGCACCCGCTACAATTTACGAGGCGGGGCAAGAGGCGGGGCCATCGTTCCCCGAATAAAACGCGTGCCATGCGCGCGAGAAACACATTAGGGGGTGATAGTTCCCACCATGCGTTCTCTGGCACAGACGGAGAGGGAAGTCAGCAGTACACCCACCATGAGCTCGTTGCCCGCGTCCGCGTCGTGCTGCACCTTGAGGCCGTACTCGGAGCGCTGGAAGGCGTCGCACACCATCTCTATGGTCTGCCGGCAAGACTCCTCGCGGCTGGGCACCACGGCCAGCAGCTGCACGAAGAAGTCGGCGGGGTTGTAGTTGCTGGGGCAGCCCGCGCCCAACCTGTAACACGAGCAGTGGAGAGGGGGTGGTATGAGGCGATGCAAACCGCACTTTGCTTTACTTGAACACCCTGTATCCAGACATATGTGACAGTAGGAAACACACACACGCACGCATCCACACGAGCACACACACACACACACACACACACACACACAGAGAGCCACGGCCCCGTTTTCTGATAACTGGCTGTCTCGAGATAAGCTCTGCGTATGTACCGCACCGCTCGGTGGCGTGCTGCACCTTAAGCGTTGCACCCTGAACAGGTGAGATTCAGATTCAGGTCGACGCGGAAATCCGATAAAATCAAGAAGAATTATTCTTTTTAATATGGTTTTTCGATTTCGTTATCGCACTTATTGCTCTGTATACGCACTGGCTAAAGAACCTGCACGCGTGGTCCGGCGCTCCCAGGAAGGCGACTCGGCCCTCGGCCATGAGCAGAACCTTGTCGAACAGCGAGAAGACCTCGGAGGAAGGCTGGTGGATGGTGCACACCACCGTCTTGCCCTTGCGGGCCATGCCCGCCAGCACCGACACCACGTTCTGCGCCATGAACGAGTCGAGGCCGGACGTCGGCTCGTCGCAGAACATGAGCGGGGGGTCCGTCAGCACCTGCAGCAAGAACACGACAGGGTCAGGGGGAGGCAGTGTACACGTCTTTCCGCTTTTCTTTCTTTCTTTCTTTCTTTTTTTTTTTCTTTCTTTCTTTCTTTCTTTCTT